ATCTTTATGGAGTTAGTTGTAATTATTCCATGTTTGGGAGCATTTGGTGGGTTGCAAGCCACCAAGTGACCAACTTTATGGATTAGAATGATGAAAGGGACTTGGATCTGTAGTTGTAGCTTCTGGGTTTGAGTAATAAGTGCTTAATGTAGAAAGGAGCTTAACAGGGTAGTACGTTGGGCGTACCAGCCAGTACGCGCAGCGTACAAGCCATGCAGCAGGTACGCGCTGCGTACAGATGAGTACGCCCCGCGTAATCATCAGATTTGGGCTTTTGCATTTTGGGCCTCGGTTTGGGCCAATTGTTGGACTTGTCAGCTATTGGGCCTCAGTAAGGCCATCAGAAGTCAGATTTTGGACCAAGGGCATGTTTGGGCTTATGTGGGCCCATATGAGGAGTTAGGCCAATTTAGAAAATTGGGCCATTAGTGGGCCTTAAGTGGGCCAATGGTGGACTTAGAAAGATTAGTTGGATTTGGGCCTTGGAGGTAGTCCAAAGTATGAGAAAGGGTAATTTGGTCAATTTACCCTTAGTGGTATCCTCAGTGTTTACACTAAGTTTTATTGAATCGAGTCGGCCCGGGAGTCGTGGGAGTAGCAAGCAGAGATTACTCATACGCGAGTTCAGCATCCAGTTTGAGAGGTGAGTCCTCTTCTAGTAGGAACGAGTCTAAGGCCATAATGTCGGCCCGTTACGTAGTTGTAGTATGACGGGGTTAGCCTGATGCAGTTATATGTTCCGGATTGCGGTCCGATGCCGGGGCGGTCCCGAGAAGTAGTTATGTATGCTTGATGTCTTTGTGATTCATGCATGTTGTATGTTATGTGTTATGTGTTCCGGGTTTAGGCCCGATGTAGATTATGTGATTATGATATGTGTTTATGATATATGCTATGCTGTGTATGTGTCAGGTTAATCCCGATGCCGGGGTAAGCCCGATGTCGGGGTGAGCCCGATGCCCGATGCGGTCGGATGCCGGGGTGAACCCGATGCCGGGCAGGAGTCTGATGTCGGGTAAGCCGATGTCGGGATTCTTCCCGATGCAGATGGGAGTAGTCCCAGAGTTCTATTATTTGTGTTATGTTTTGTGTATGGTATGTGGTAGATTGGGGAGACTCACTAAGCTTCATGCTTACAGTTTCAGTTTTGGTTTCAGGTACTTCCGGTAGCAAGGGGAAGAGCTCGGGATGATCGCATGGGGCACACCACAGTCATTAGCCTGGGATTTTCACTCTGATATTTTAGTACATGTTTATTCCGGTGGATTTATTATGATGTTTGAGATATATGAGACATGATTTTCTATTTTCACTTAGGTTGGATATGGGTTTTTATAATATAATAAACGAAAATTTTGGGTCGTATTTTTGGTATGTCACACTTAGTTTGGTATTCTTGCCTGTGGTGCATCCATTAAGGACGTAGGTTTAGAGTTCTTGACTTATTGGAATGTCTTAATGGATAAAGTTGGAAAATTTATCCATAAAGACCTTAGGAAGGTTCAGATCTGAGCTTTGGAGCACTTGAGATTGAAGGATAACGGCTTAATCCATTAAGTTCTTTCGAGCCAGTTCCCATGTCGTGGCGAGTTGCATGCCACGACGTAGAGTTCAGGTCCACCGCAACTATTTGTCGCATTTTTACTACGACGTGGTCATGGATTGGCCACAACGTGGTAGTCTTCTAAGTTGACTTTGACCGTTGACTTTTGACATATTTGACTTTTTGGTCAAACTCGGTTTGAATTGAGTATCTAGTTGAGGGATAGTCTTGGTTGGGTTTTAGGGAGCTCGAGTTAGCTGTTCTGTTGTTGAGGGTGTTGTTGAGCTCCTACTGTTTAGTTCAGGTGAGTTTTCTCGTTGTATTATGTATGCCACAATGTGTTCATGACCAGCTAGGTCTTATTTGTTGCTTGTTGTTATATGTGTTACTGAGTTGTTGATAAATTCAAGGCATGTTGTTAGCTCATTGGTAGCTCATTGGGACTGCTAATAGTCCCCAAAGTTGTTGATAACCCATAGGGCATGCTGTTAGCCCATTGGGATTGCTGATAGTCCCCAAGGTTGTTGATAACCCATAGTTGCTTATTTCGTTGTGTTGTATGTGATTCTTTGGGGAACTCACTAAGCTTTATGTTTATAGTTTTGGATTAATGTTTTTCAGGTACTTATCGGATCGCGAAGGTGGGACTATACACACAAACCAACAATTTTATGAACCGAGATTCCGCAATGTTTTCCTTATAACTCTGATTTTGAATTTGATTTATGAACATTTTGTTTAACTTGTTTATATCTTTATAAAAAGGGGTGTTTATTTTATTTTAAAAATGAAAATTTTATTATGAAAAATGGGATGTTACATGATGGCCCCACGCTTCCATGCCTAAACCAACTTGGAATCTCCTCTGCCTCATAAATATATTCCAAATTCATAAAACGTTGTTTGCCAATTACAACCACCTTAATTAATCACCATAACAATTATAATATATCGTATTCAGATAAAGAAAAATTGTATGGGAAACCTTCCTAGACTTAATTAGATACTTAGTATGCGGAAGTGTATAAAATTAAACTCAATCGAGTATCCTCCACACTAACGAAGTTGTGTTTTAAACGTGATGAGGATACTTTATTGACTTTATTTTTTTACACTTTCACATAAGAAACATATCAACTCTAGGAAGGGTTCTCGCGACACAACTGGGCATGGAATTAATAGGATTTTCATCTAAATATTATATTTAACATGGAAAGGCAACTAGCGTCTATGGGAAATGATTCATGGGATAACTTATTATTTGCAAGTGACAACCTATTAAAGACCTCGGTAAACACATTGCAATGGACTTCAAATCACGTGGTATAGCACCCACAAAGGCAGAGAAAAAGGTTCTTCTGTTTTTGCTAATGTTGCTAAACGTGCACATATCTAGTGAATCCATACCCTTCACCAAGATTACAAATGCAAACAAAAGCGAGAAGACTTACCTATGATAGGATCATACATTCTCGTCAATTAATACAATGTCAATGTTGTTCAATTCAAACTGACTTCAAATAAACATATCGCTTCCATAAATGAACAACCTAATCCCTTGTACTTCCAACCATCAATACAATGTTTACCTCACTCATCAATATTCTGAACACATATTAATTACTATCACACGTCCAACAATTATATCTACAGTTGATAGACTATATGCCTCATTTATACACATAAAGCAAATATCATGTTACATACAAAATTAATAGCAGTTGAGCAATTCAACCGGTTCCAATGCACCTTGGAGGCACAATGAATTGGACAGTAGGTGAACAATAAAAAATATAAACCAGAAAATCAAAAGCTAGCTACAATTAAACAACAAATTCTAACTCGTAACCGAAACCAAACGAAGAGTCAATCCCAATCGAACGCCACATCGAAAAACAAAGGCGCCCCAGAGGCTACTATCCTCAAATCAAGCTCAATTAAGCACCATATGGCATAGAAACCCTCTCATTGCAACAAATCAACAATAGTACTCATGTTATCTTGGATATAGATGTTTGTTATTTTTTTTTTTTAATTTAGCAAACATAGTGTTATTAACTTTTTTTTTTTCGTTTAACAATTCATATATATAATGAGTTGGGACTACTAGGTAATTCTTTCTTTTCATTTCTTGTTCAGTTTAGAACTAACTAAAACCCAATTCCTTTATTTTAATGGGAGATTTAGCATTGAATTTTAGGATTTTAGATATATTTTTGTTTTCATTATTAGATGACAGATCTTAGAAGAAACTTTTAGATAGGTTTTGTTTCACTGTCTGCTCCAGTTTTAGGACAAAAGGGTTGAATCTCAAAGCACTTTTGTTGCAATTTTAGGATTTAAAAATGCGTGGGAAAATAAAAGATAATCAAATTGTTTAAAATATCAAACATAATGGATAACATATATTTTAACCATCAACACATAAACACAAACGTTATGAAATCGGGGCCTTTTATTACCATCAAGAGTAGCAAGGAAATGTATTAAGTTGTGGCCTTACCTATAACTTACAAAACTTTTAAAAGCCACATGACATTTGAGCATTCTTAAATCATTCATGAAGCCCTTTTCATAAATACAAATAAAAGGTTTTTACATAACGTATCATGTTTAATTATTCAGAAAAGAAAGGAAATGAAGGTACTCCGTGTTGCCAATATTGAAAGTTTCAAAAACAGTTGACCAACCAATAATAAGTATATTCGAGTTCTCCTTTTACTATAGACATGCGTCCAAATACTGATCAATGTGTCATCCAAGGGCATCTAAGAATCTAATTTAAGTCCTTGTGCATAAATTTAATAGCCATACCATAATTTGATAATACAGTTACATATCTTTGCCATCTCGTGCAGTCAAATACATACCTGAATTAAGGATGATACAGAAACAATGTCGATACCAATTTGTGAAGTTAAATATATACATTATAACATAAGTTCAGGGCAACTCAACACTGAGGTGAGGTTGGGAGGTGGTTCAAGGTCGGGTTTCATGGCAGCAATGGTGGATGACAAAGATAGCTAGAGCAATGCAAAATAATGAAAACCATGGCAATTCTAAAACTACGTTTTAGTCTTTTCTTCAATCACATAAACCAAATCAACAAAATTTCAAATATATTAAGTAATCAAAACAATATGAGTTACATGACGACTTACTTAATATTCCTTACATGTGTATCAACTAAACTCAAAAATAATTCCTTTTGCTTTCACCTATCTTTCGCAATCAAAAATAAAAAAGAACTATGGGAACAAAAACCAAATGCATAAATCGGTACAAAAGGAGACGAACAAACCATCTTAATTCTTGTGGAAAAAGGATATAACTCATCGAGTTTCACGTGATTGATTTAGAGTAGTTCGGTTATCCATCACCCATCGTACTAGATGCACATCTATTTTGAATTCAGACAGGCATGTACTGTAGCTTCTCTTTCTCAAGCAGTTTCTCATGAAGGATGAGACCTTGAAGATTCCCCCTTACCCTATGAATAAAGGAAAAGTAAGAAAACCTAAAAAGTTGGATAAGCATACAGAGATATGATGATAACATATTTGGTTCTATATGCTTTTTTATTCTGTGATGATAGAAAGGTTTGGGTGTGAAAAAGTATACCTCCCGTGCTCTACCAATTATGCCAGGATTCTTTTGAGAAAAAGCTCTGAACCAACACTCTTCCTTTTGATCTGAACACAAGTGAGTAGTATTGGACATAAATATATTTATGTGACCCAAGATATCAAAAGACATAGTCAACTAACATAACAAATCTACCCATTTAAACGAATCAATACTTGGTTCGATTCATTTAAAAATTAAAATTAGAATATTTATTTTTTATATTTTACAAATAAAAATCTTATCTTATAGGTCAATAAAATCATAAATAAATGGGTGGATTTAGGTCATATGATCCATTTGCTTAAATGATTTAAGTTATGATCCATCTATTAAAATAAATGGATCATTATCCGACTTTTTATAGAAATTGGGCCATGGTTAAGCTCATTATACATAAGATACGACATTAAAACATTTAAGAAAAATGAGATCTACCTTCATAGTGGGGGCCGTCTGCAACAAATTTACGATGATAGGGGAACACTATAATAGTAGGATAAACGAATAGTATATTCATTAGGATGTATTCTCCTGTTGTTAACTGAAAAGGAGAAAGATCTCCACCAATGATGTGATTCCATGACTTATAATAACCCAATGCATCTTCTTCATCATCGATCTTGTCTCCATCATCATACACAAGACTCACCGCACACTCCTTTACAAATTTATTGTAAGGCAGTGTAACAGTAATAGTAACATTGTCACCAGCCTCCATCTCATTCATCCCAAACATCAAATGGCTTAACATCACACAACAGTTTCGACCTTCACTAAATTTTTCCAAGTGACGTTCGTATATCCATGTGCAGTTCTTTGTTATATTACTAATTGTCATCATTGGTGAATCAGGGAAGGCAAATGGAGGTTCCTCCACATCTAATTTGCAATATGTGTGCACAGAGCAGAAGTTGAGTCCTGTAAGGTTGTTTGAAGATGATGATGATGGGATGGTAAATGATATTGATGGCCCCACGCTTCTATGCCTAAACCAACTCGGCATCTCATCCTCCACATAAGTTGTGCTGAATATTCCAAATTCTTAAAACATTGTCTGCCAAATACAAACCACCTTAATTAATCACCATAATAATTACATATATATATATATATATATATATATATATATATATATATATATATATATATTATTCACATTCACATAAATACGGACAGTTAAGTGAACAAAAACCTGGATTCCAAGTTCTGATGATGAATTACTTCTCACGCGTCTGTCGTTAAGGAAGTCTAAGTTACTCCAGCCCAAGCTACGTAAAACCTGTTCCTCAACACCCAGCATTGGTTGGACTTTGAGAATGCCTTCAATTTCAAACAACAAAGGTGCATAATTTCTCGCAGTTATTGATAGCTTGAGAGGGGACATTTCTGGATCAAATACAACTTTTTCTACATAAAACAAATGATTAGGATCGAGCAACAGTGCTCCTAGTGTGCGTGGAGGATACTCAACTGACTTCAAATTATTACAGTTCCACATACTAAGTAATTCTAGCCTAGGAAGGGTTCTCACACAAATAGGCATGGAATCGAAAGGATTGCCATCTAAATATAAATTCTTTAACATGGATAGGCAACTGAAATCCATGGGAAAGGATTCAGATGACAAATTGTTATTTGCAAGTGACAACCTTACTAAAGACCTCGGTAAAGAAACTGCGAACAACTTAAAATCCCTTGGTATAGCACCCACAAAGGCCGAGGAAGAGGTTCTTGTATTATGTCAATGTTGTTAGCCTCGCACAATTCCAAAGAATCCATACCCCTATTCGGAGTTCCAGATTCACCAAGACTACAACCATCTAGCAACATTATTTTCACATTCTTCAACATGCATATGTTTCTTGGAAGTTTTTCAAGCTTCTTGCAGTAGCTCAGATCGATGAAGAAAAGTCTAACACAATGCTCAATTGATTCACAAACCTCAACCAAACCAATGCAATTTCTAACTATTAACCTTTCAAGTGCAGGAAGTTGGACAAAGTCACCAAGACTAAGAAGTTGTTTACAGTAACCTAAATTAAGAATCTTCAATGATCCAAGCAACCTTTTGTCTTTAGAGCACGACCCATCCAACTGCATAATGGAAATAAGTTAGAATAGTATTGAATTTCATCAACTCAACATGGATGAATAATATATGAAGTTAAGTTACCTTTTGTCTCTTTTCAAGTCGTTGTGGATTAATATAACAACTAACAAATGATTCAATATTGCTATATGACATGTCAAGTGCAACAAGATTCTCCATAGGTAAGTCAGTAGGTATAGACTTTAAACAAAACCCATGCATACACAAACCTCTTAATTCCCTTGGAAAGTTCTCATAAGACCCATGCATGTGCACATAATTTAGTTGTAGTAGCATAAGACTATCCATTTTACTTAATGTGTTTGTTTTCAGCTCATACCCAACTTCTCTTTCTCAAGCATGCGCATGTCAAGGGCAAGGCCTAGAAGGTTTCCCTTACCCTAAGAAGAAACAGAATGAAAATAAATAAATTATGCAATAGAAAATATTTTGGACATACACACTACTAAAAGCATAGATGTCCTCTTACCTTTTTGTGTTTCAATACTTTGAATGACTCCTTGTGACACCATAATCGACTTCGCTTCCATGGCTTGTCAGGTGATTCTTGACGAACTTCAAATCTTCCCATCTCTTGAACCAATTGATGCATCGTCAATTCATTATCCCGTCTATCAATGAGACATCTATCAATGAGATTCGTGATCCCGGATCTTGTCTTTATATCACATGCCTCTAATATTGTATCAGTAACATCTCTATCTATTCCAACAAAAAAACCAGCAATATACTAAGAAGACATCTATCAATGAGATTCGTGATCCCGGATCTTGTGTTTATATCACATGCCTCTAATATTGTATCAGTAACATCTCTATCTATTCCAACAAAAAAACAAGCAATATGCTTAAACAAGTCTTTATCATTTTTGGATGGCAAGGAGTCGAAGCTCATTTTTAAGACATTATTTATAGGAGAACTGATTTCTTTCTTTAACCCTTCGACGCACCCTTCCCAATAAGCTACATCTCGATTATGTAGAGACTTTCCCAAAACTTCGAGAGCCAATGGATGTCCCTCACAATACTTAACAAGCTTATCAGACACCTCTTCATATCCTGCCATAGGTTGGTTGCACATGAATGCATGGGAACACAAAAGTTGTTGCGATGCAATACCTGCTAAGCCTCGAAGCAAATGCATTCCATGCTTGGGTTTAATGTTTGTTTTGAATAGTGCACAACTTGTTGTTAACCATCTGTCCTTTGTTGTTATTATAATTTTGCTTCCGGGATGAAAACCTTTGCTTCCAAGTAATGCATCCAACTGAACAAGGGTACTAACATCATCAAGAACTAGAAACACCCTTTTACGGGCGAGTGCATTCTCTATCTTTGTTGTGTATATTGAAACATCATGAACTTTAATTGAACTTGTCTTTGAAATGTCGTTGCAGAGTTGTTCTTGTAAATCGAGCAACCCATTAAACTTTCCATCACATTTCCTAGTGATATCTTCAATATAGCTGCTTGCATGGAATTCCCGACAGTATAGCCCATAAACATGTTTCGCTAAAGATGTCTTCCCGATCCCGCCTATACCATAAATAGTGAGTATGTCTGCCGTATGTGAGGATCCATCTTTCAACCATGTTGTGATGAAGTTAATGGAATAATCTATCCCAATAAATAGTGTTCGAACACTCCGTAAGGGTACATGTAATCTACGGTAGATGTCCTTCACAATTTCTTCAATAAACTCCGTCTCAAACCTGAAACTTGATTTAATAAGAATTACAAAACACAATCCAGAAAACTAAAAAACCAGAATTGGAGATTTTATTAATATAAAGATCCAAATAAAAATTATATTACAAGCGTTAGTTTTACTGATTCATTCAAGGCATTTGACAGGGTTTTAAGTAAATGAACTAACCTATGACAAAATACCATATGCATAAGCCAAAGAGTTTATACCCTAGTGGTGGTATTAGGAGTTCGAAAATTTGTTCCTCCTCCAAGGGGTCGAGGGTTCAAAACTCAAATCATGCTTGACATTGGTGTAGTTTACGAATTGGGTTACGAGTTGTTCAAAATAAATATATAAATAAATAAATACGTAACAAATGTATAAAAATTATCAGAAGAGTTAATCTATATATATCAAGGTTGTAAAAAACACTTGATGTTAGTGTAGGATGAATTGGGGTTAAGGGTTAAGGGTTTAGGGCTAATCTGTCTAGGCGGAGATTAATCTGGGACTATAAATTATTAATAAAATTATTTCAAAATTACTATATTCTAAGAAAATAAGTAAATTTGCATATTTGAAAGCTTGAAAATTTAAAACTTTTGGTGAAAATTTGTAATTATGAAAATTTTTGGTATAATATTTGAAATTTTGGCCGCCTAAGACCGATTTTGACCGCCAACTGCTCATAATTTAACCATCTTTGACCAACACTAATTAAGTTGGCCGACTAGCCCATATCCTAATCGGTTCAAGGCCGCCTAACGATTAATCAGCTGCCTAGAACGATTTTTGCAAAACTAATCTATATAAACTGATTTATGAGATTAGATAACACAAATTCAACTATGTGCATCTTGTTTATCCTACTATATCATATATGTGTCTATTCGATGTTTATCGAAATGAATACTATGAAGATGATATTGACATTTTTCATGCGTTTTCAAACAAAACTAAATGTGTATGAAAATAAGGGTAACAAAACTAAATGTGTATGAAAATAAGGGTAAATATGTGGGTACCTGCCATTTACGTCATTTCCCTTTAAATTAGCAACTTCCATAAGTGCTTTATTCCATCTATCCATCCTTTGAGCCCATAGTCTTCTTTTATTTTCGTCTATCTCTTCATCCATTGGCCATTGCATCACCAAAGCTACTTTGTTGCTTCCTAACACGTGTGGGCTCCACATGATAAAAGATTGGGATGACAATATGGTTGGATGCCATACGCTGCTCAAGGATCAGCACCAATTCATCGAGGCACCATGTTGAAGTGGCATAGTTCTTGGACAACACGATAATAGAACCCCGAGATGCCTTAATTGCACTCTCTAATTCCGGTTTCAGATCTTCCCCTGTTTCAATCTCTTCATCATCCAAGAAGGTACTGATATTGGCCTCAATGAGGGCCTTATAAAGGTGATCGGTGAAACTATGACGCGTGTCAAGACCTCTAAAACTTAAAAACACGTCATATCTATTAACATGAGTTGATGAGCTAGGACCATAAGTTGATGAACTATGGCCATGTGTTGGTGAAGAAGATGAAGATCCTTCTGAAAGTTCAAATAGAACAACCATTACGAGTTATGTGTTGATGACTCTTCAGCCTTCCCAGGATTTTTAGGATTTTGAGTATTTACTTGAAGTTTCTCCTTAAAATGTGGGTGTATCTGAGTGAGCTCTGAAACACCTCCACACGTTATTGATAATGTACGTTGCTTTCACCGGCTTTCCTCACTTGGGCTTCAAACGTTTGGATCCCTTACATAATGCCTCTACATAAAATCCAAATTAAAAATATTTACAATATGCAACGTAACTCTCAATTAACAATGTAAGCCTCAATAATAATAATAGTAGTTATAATAATAATAATAATAATAATAATAACAATAATAATAATAATACCTTTGAATTCTTATAAACAAAACTTTAGTTAATTAAAATACAATACACATGCATCTCCAAACTTTTCCATGTGAACTAACTTAATACGCCTACAAAATATTTAAATCTCATTATAGGAACTATAATTGTGTTAATATGCCAATATTTATCCCTAAACTTTGAGTTTAGAGTTGATATTGGAGCTATATATTGTTAGGATCGAGACACTTAACACACGACTCTAAACACACACACAGTTCACGAAAAACAAGAACACAAGGATAAACATGAGGGATTTAACGTGGTTCGGTCCTTCTCTGACCTACGTCCACCGGTAACTAGGAATTTACATTTCTTGGTGCTAATCTGCACTCTTTCTGTGTTACACTAGATACAAGTTTTACAAATACAGAATAATCTCTTATATAGAGATGGAAATCAGAAGTAGTCAAAAAACACAACTGGGTCTTCATTCAACAATTGTGGCTTCACAACTTCACATTGTTCCTGCCATTTTTGACCAGCTTTTCTGTGGATTCACACTCAACATTTCTGTGGATTCATACTCAACAATCTCCCACTTGAAGCCACAGAACAATCTTCACATGTGCTTCAACTGTGCATCTGTATTTGATCTTAACTCCTTCCTAGTTACCCTGGCCTTCTTTTCAATTAACCTGAAGGCCAGTTGAAGCTTTCGTTAGCTCCAACGCATCAGTCATGGCTAAGTCTGCCACTGACCTGTTCTCTGTCTCCACCGGCTCCCACTGAAATGAACTGCCCGATCCTGGAACATCCTGAGAACAAACGACACTCTCTATATGAAGCAGATAATCTGGAGAGACTATTACAGATGGAATACTGGTTCTCTTAACCCACTATGTTCTGGGTATTCTAGCTTAAACAAAGCCCATGCTCCCACTGCTATGAATGCCCTTGACTGGTTTTTCTGAACCGTTCCAAACACGTTCAACCTGAATCTGACCTGTGACTCTGGGTTTACCATCTGCAAAGCAAACCTTCTTCTGTCCACGAGACTCTATGAACCGGATTTTGTTTTTCTTCTGACCTGGGACGGTTACTCCCTCAGACGGTAAACTGACCATATATAATGAACCCTTCTTATGTCCACAAGCTATCACAAGATTTCTTTTGACAACCTTCCACTACCCATTCCTGAACTTAACCTCGTGTCCCTGTTCATCCAACTGCCCAACAGAAATCAACTGTTTCTTCAGACTTTGAATTACCCGGACATCCTTCAAAGTCCATGGACCGACTGGAGTCTTCAGATCTAAGTCACCTATGCTCGTCACATCAAGAACCTCATCGTTCGCCAGTCTTACCTTACCAAAATCCCCTTCTTTCAGATTCCGTAGTGCTTCACGGCTGTGGGTAGCGTGAAATGAAGCACCCGAATCCATAACCCAGGAATCCACATTGCTCTCCACACTACAGATCAAAACATCATCATCTGAATGGTCTACTGCAACGTTAACTTCTTTCTTGTCTTTTGGACATTGATTCCTGAAATGTCCAACCTCTTTCCAGTTCCAACAAGTCACATCATTTCGAGTCCTCGACTGACTCCTTCTCTTGTTCCCGCTCCCACTACCTCTGTTATTTCTTCTACCTCTGACCGCATTCAATTGTTCACTTGATGATTCCCCGGAATTTCTTCGTCTGACGTCTTCGCCTAGAATTAAATCCCGAATTCCCTCAAAAGTGAGCTCTTTCGATCCTGCGGAACTAGTAACGGCTGTAACTGTTCCGGACCAACTGTCAGGTAATGATGATAACAGTAGTAAAGCTTGAACTTCGTCCTAAAATTTTATTCCCACTGACCCAAGTCTGGATAAAATCGAGTTCAAATTGTTGATGTGTACTGTAACTGAACTTCCTTCCCTCATCCTCGTGTTGACTAGTTCCCGAATCAGGAAGACTTTATTTGCTGCCGACGGCTTCTCGTACATATTAGACAATGCCTCCATGATTCCCTTTGCCGAGGTCTCCTTCAAAATATTGAAGGCAACATCCTTTGACAACGTCAGTCTAATAAATGTCTTGGCCTTCTTATCCAAAGTCTCCCAGTTTGCTTGTGTGATCGCCTCCGGTTTTTCACCTAAAACTGCGTCCAAGTCTTTCTGTACGAGCAAATCTTCAATTTGCATCTTCCACCAACCAAAATCTTTCCCATCAAACTTCTCAATCTGAAGTTTACTGCTTTCTGCCATTTTCTGAAAGATTAGGGGCTAAACTGCAATTTTCTGAAAGTTCAGGGGCTAAACTGCAATTTTTCAAATCTGCTACAGTGTCGCTACAGTGACGTCTTCTCCGGCAGGTCTCCGGCGTACAGTGTCGTCTTCTCCGGCAAGGCTCCGGCGCTACAGTGTCGTCTTCTCCGGCGAATTGGTTTTCCGGTCACTATTCCGGCTAACCTTTGACCGGCGATTTGGACGTCTTCCGGTGGTCGAAAAATTCAGAAAAAAATATTTTCGGAATCTTCGGAACGAGACCTTTCCAACGGTATACACCAAAATCGTTTTTGACGAAAAAAAATTTCGACCAAAAACTTAAAATCACCTTCTGGAGCTACAACCTTGCTCTGATACCACTTGTTAGGATCGAGACACTTAACACACGACTCTAAACACACACACAGTTCACGAAAAACAAGAACACAAGGATAAACATGAGGGATTTAACGTGGTTCGGTCCTTCTCTGACCTACGTCCACCGGTAACTAGGAATTTACATTTCTTGGTGCTAATCTGCACTCTTTCTGTGTTACACTAGATACAAGTTTTACAAATACAGAATAATCTCTTATATAGAGATGGAAATCAGAAGTAGTCAAAAAACACAACTGGGTCTTCATTCAACAATTGTGGCTTCACAACTTCACATTGTTCCTGCCATTTTTGACCAGCTTTTCTGTGGATTCACACTCAACATTTCTGTGGATTCATACTCAACATATATTGCATAATGTTTATATGTGTGTTTTAACCCTCGATTTCATTTTTGTGTTTAAAGGCCATTCATAGCTTAATTAGTGCTAAACTCGGTTGTTTTGTGTGCAAGGGATATATGGGAATCAAGCAGAGAGAGACTGCACTTATTTAAAACAGGAACATGCTGATAAATCTCTGCAACAGAAATCTAATGGAAGTAGCAATTATGTGACAAGTTTTTCGATCCTTTAATCAACACAGATATAGCTAAGTATTGATATTGAATAACAATTGCCATGGGAATTATTTATAAAACGGTTAGTCAACTAACTGAATTTGTTAACTTGTTTTTCCAGCATATTCATTTAACCTACAACGTTCCTATTTGGATTTTATTAACCCACAAATCAACAACAAATACCATTATGAATACAACTACAAGATCCACTGTTGCTTCCGATGAAAGGCATTTCATAAGATATAGGCAATTTCAAGCTTCCACTAGGTATCAACAAAGAGCAGTTTGAAGATCCTGACAGAAAAAAATAAGTTACTTGACATAAAGGTACCCAAATTAGCAACAACTTTTTTAAACTTAAATTTCTCTATCACTAGATCTAGTATCATCATATGTAAAGGATTTCAACTATAATTCATTGGTTTGTTCCAAATGATATGTTTATGAAACTAACAAGGCATGCCCTTTCAAAAGGTTCAATTGTAAACTCTATACTAGATGAAAATTCAAAGTTAAATGCCCTTTATTCGCACAATAAGCATATGGATATCATTAAGTTTCGACTTCAATAGTAAGCTAAGCACCCATTATGACAATCGAATATTGAAGGTCTAACTTACCATTAAGGAGCAGATAACATCATTAAAAAGAAATAAATGTAAAAAATCGTGTTTATAAATTAGAATATATAAACTGAGGAAGCAATTGTTGGAGATAACATTGAAGACAGGAAGAGAGGAGAGGAAGTTCTTTGTTCAGGAAACAAGAAAACTTTTATTAATCGCATAATCAACACATTTTAGAAGTACATCGGAACTGCTGATGATTAAGTGCCACATAACTACCAATCCCCACCGTTTCCCAACCATAGCACACCCTTTTCCTAAACGACACAAGACAACCAAATATACAATGTGCACGAACTTCTGTTCATCATTCTCGACCAGTGGACTTTACTCTAAAAGGAGTGTGTACTATCGTAAACGATATATAAAATTAAACAAAAGTAATTGAAACAAAAAAAATACAATCGCCTGTTCACGAAATAAACAAATGATTATGTGATTTTCGATTAAGAAGATGGAATTGTCTAACAATATCTAAAACTAGCTTGTAAGAATGTGTCTTCATAGTTACCTGCCTACAAGAAGAACATGAGAACTGAAGCAGCGACGATAGAGGATGAGCCAATAGTGAAAGCTGAGAGCGAACGGCGGTAAGTCGGCAGGGAAACGGCGAGTCAACGAGGAAAGGGCGACGGCCAGAGAGGAGAGTCAATGAGGATTTTGGGGTTTCCGTTTTCCTTTTGGCTTACGATCAGTTGATCAGGGGTGTTGTTTTCCTTAAGTAACATACTTGGAAAGGTATGTGCCAAGAAAGTTCTATAATTATTAGGCAAATTCCGGGAAAATACTTAACTTATACACACTAGATATTTAATTCTACCCTTTTTTTCCATTAACAATATTCATATTTTAGTTCAGATTCAAATAAATGACTTGACAGTGTCAAGTTGACATGCCAATTAAGTACGTATGATTTTGACGTTTTATTTCAATATCTTTTATTAGCCCCTTGATTTGTAGAAATATCCCACATTTTACCCTTAATTTGTTGTATATAAATAGTTTTCAATTTTATGTTTTTAGCCTGTTTTATTTTTATTATAAACATATACCATTTAATAAAATCGTTTCAAATTACACCCTAACTGTTTTTAAAATTTTATTTTATATTTGTAACATTGTTTTAACGTTTCTTTGAAACTATTTTAATAAATGCTATGTGTATATAATAAAAAATAAAAGGCTAAAAACATATAATATAAAGCTATTTGTATAGAACAAATTATGGGCAAAATTTGGTACATTTATACAAATTAAGGGAAAATAAAAAGATACTAAAATAAAACGAAGAAATCAAACTTGGGTGTCAATTAGTATGAACTAAAATATGAATGTCGACAGAGAAATAGAATATAATTAAATATCTAGTGTGTATGGTTATATGTGTGCCATTAATATGTCCCTAAATATGTATATTTTGTTGGACTTTGCCTAATAAATATCATAACTTTCTTGCAACTTCGGTGTTGTGTAACTTTCTTGGAACTTCGGTGTTGTGTGGTCGGATCTTAATTTTTAAGATCCGAATTTTTAAGAGGTATAAATTTTTAAATGGCTCTGAAATTTTAAGATCTAAATTTTTAACAAGTTGTTTGGTTGGAATCTCTGAATTAATGTGTTATCCTTTTGTATTATTTTCAGCTAAATTCAATGTTTCTGTTTTATAAAATAATTTAACCAGCTCTTGAACAATTATAAAAAATATATATATATAAACACCATACAAAATCCAAATTAAATACAAAATCCAAATATAAACACCATACACCACCTGCCACTTCTCGCCCCTAACCACCACTTCTCGCCCGTAACCGGAGGTTTGTTGCAGGAATCTGTTAACATCCATTTGAATATCATATTAGCCAAAATTGTTGCCAGGAATAGCGTCTTTAGGAAGTGCTCGTTTCACCTCAAAAAACATATTGTTGGGTTCTTGGAATGTCTCTTGAAGAACTCTACCAACAACATCTTATATGTCAAAGGAGATGAAACCAAATCCACGAGGTATGTTGGTGGTTTGGTCAAACATGATTATTACATCAGTTATATCACCATAACTTTTAAAGTATTGACAGAATTTCATGTCCTTGTCCCACCGGAGCTCCACTCAACATTGCTTCAGGTCTAGACATTTGTTGTTCTTCCCCCCATATAGCCCTATTAGCTTCCACATGCACATCACGATGAACGACATATAAACACTAGAGCATACACACTATAGATTTTGTTGCCAAATGCATATATAAATTAAATTCTCATTGATTTGAATTTGAAATGGAATACATGAATAGAAGAAGTTTGTAACCAGAAAATGAGCCCTGTAAATCTTGTATATAAACATGTTTAACCATCTCATGTAATATGTTGATGCCACCATAATAAATTATTTGATTATTGTATAATACATAATGAATATGTATTTAGTGGGAAGCCTCACAGTAGCATGTTGAATTTCATGGATTTCTAGGAAAGACTCAAGTCATCGCACCCAATATATAGAACTTGTTACAAATTTCATAACAACTCACTGATTAACTCCCATGAGATCAACCACTTCGTCTTAGGTCCTCACCCAAAACAGAGATCCAATTAACTATAGCTCTTATTATCGAGTTTTAGGGCAAAGGAATAAAATATGACATGGAATCGAAAAAATTGGCTACATTGACGAAGTAGTCGGCGCTACCGGCGGCGATGGAAGAGGTGGCGTCGCTGGAGGGGTTGTCGGTGGCAAAGTCGATGGAGAACTGTGGCGGCTCGGAAAGGGAGTGACAGGGAGAAATGGACGTTGGTCTCATGAAGTATGGAGTGACGAAAAAGAGCGCTGAAATTTTAGGGAAGGAAGGGAAAGAGTGTCTTTTGTTTTTTAAGTTCAGACATGTTCTACATCTAAAGTTTAAACGGTGTTAACAAACTTAAGAGGCAAACAGTAATATGCAAACAAACAATCTGAATTTTTAAGAGTTTGCTTTTTAATTTACAAATTAAGAGGGCTACCAAACAGTATCTTACTTTTTCCAAATATGTTTATTAAAAAAAAGTTAAGGAAAGCCACACTCTAATCATAAGGCAAAAGGAAAACGTAGGTCGTCGCCCTTCCATCCTTGACTTAAGGATAATAACAATGATTATAAAGATGAAGATTCTCTAAAACCTTAGATTTATTTGTTTCCTAGTTTGTTACTCTTGTATACATCTTTTATAATCTTTCTTACCTTTTTGTGTATATACACAAAGTCTCTTGCCTTCAATTAGGCACACATCATTATCCTCATATGGTATCAGACCACCATTAGGTTTTATCCTCAAAAGGAAAAACACTAAATCGATCCTTATGGCCCTTGCGATACCATAAACTTCTTGATCTCTTGTGATCTTTTTAAATTTGTAATTGTACCACCGAACCCTAAACCCTAAACCACCACCCAAAATCATACCATCTCATATTGATATTGTTGTGTTCACTGCCAATCTGGCCTACAAGGAATGGATTCGATATGATCAGAGGATTCGAACACTCTTATAAGATTCTCTTATTCGAGAAGATGTTATTGTTGTTATTGGTTGTCGGACTTCTTAGCAAATATAGTTTACCCTTCAAGCCACCTTCAGTCATGCATCCAAAACACGGTAGATTTAACTCAAGGATGAGCTTCAATCCATTTTTCAAGGTGATCAATATGGGGCTGATTACTTTATGTAACCTCCCAAAATTCAAAACCAAAAATTTCATTTTTAAATAAGTAATAATAAAGCCGATCATTTGAAAACATCAATAGTATCTACCCATTTAATAAAATCCTAGTGTCAAAACATAGCATAGCAAAATAATGTCAGAGTACACATCCCAAGAATCTCATAGTCCGAAAATCGTGTGTAATGCAAAACAGTCATGCCGGCTCCTTTCCCTTCGAAGAAGAGGTACCTGAAAGCAAAACTGTAAACCGTAAGCACGAAGCTTAGTGAGTTCCCCCATCATACCACATACCATACACATACTGCCTAGCATATCTGGGTGCTGGCCTACCCCTTCAGTCTCTTTCAACCGGTAAATGCCTAGCATATTTGGGTGTTGGCCTACCCCTTCGGTCTCTTTCAACCGGTAACTGCCTAACATATCTGGTTGCTGGCCTACCCCTTCGGTCTCTTTCAACTGGTAACCGGGGACTATTTCACCCTACCACTACCATATAATATCCTATCATATAAGCCTATAAATCAAATACTGCCTAGCATATTTGGGTGCTGGCCTACCCCTTCAGTCCCTTTCAACCGGTAACCGGGGACTATTTCACCTCCTACTACTATCACATAATATCATAGCATACTAGCACATAAAACATAACAGATAGTGGCAAACCTAGATAATTATCACAAAGACAATCATCTAACAAACAACTCCTACTAGTGGGCCGACATTGTTGTTGTAGACCCACTTCTATTGGAAGGCAACTCACCTCAAGTGTTGCGAAGTAGTTGAGCTATCCTCGACTCTGGAATCAACCCCACTCAAACTCCTATACAAAAAACATTTCCTTTAATTACCCTTCCATACTCATGACCCATTAAGGGCAACCTTGGTTAAGGTCAAAGTCAAAGTCAACACTCAATTCAAAGTAAACATTTTGGTCAAAGTCATCATTCTGGGTTGACTCCACTCGCCGAGTTGTCCTATAAACCAAAAAAACCTGGAATCGTGACCCAACTCGTCGAGTTCTCCTCCAACTCGCTAAGTTCTTTTGCATTAACAGAATCAGGACTTTTAGTAACAGAATCAGGACTTTTCAATATAACTCGTCGAGTCCGTCCTTGAACTCGTCGAGTCCGTCCTTGAACTCGTCGAGTTCTTCCATCTACATCATCAGGACATTTCAACCCAACTCGTCGAGTTCCACTGTCTATTTTTCTTTCTCAATGTATTCAGCCATTATTCTTGGAATCCAAGTCCCATATCACCAGATCTGGTTAAATACACTTGTAGGAGGGTAAAGTTTCTGACTTTACCCATTAAGACCCATTCTAGAAGAAATGATCCATAACCCTAAGTCTAAATGGCCTAGTTCCAACTCCAAAAGCCATCAAAACTTCAAGATAAGCCAATGGGTCATAGATATGGACCCTAGGGGAAGTTTGGCCACATAAAGTTCCTATCTTTACTCGCATGCATGGGCTACTTGGCTCAAAAGGGCAAAAAGATGGTCCACAAGTTGCATGGGACTTCCATGGCCATAAAGTTGGCACCTTTATGCCATGGAGTCCCTTAAAGACCCTAGATCTGAAGTGATACTCACTTGGGACGTCCATTTCCCAAAGACCATGCCACTTGGACCAAAAACCCCAACAAAATAGAAAATGAAGAGATCTAAGCATACTATATGCAAGGTAGGAGCTTTATACCTCAAATGAACCAGAAATGAAGCTCAACTTTTGGATATACTCTTCTTCCATACATCCTTGCTCCTTCTTCAAGAATCATCTTCTTCAAAATCACAAGGAATGCACAAAAATGGTTCAAAGCTCTCACAAGTGGATTAGGGTTTCATGGCTAGGGTTTGGGACAACGGAGGTTGAAGGTGAGGCCAGCTTATGGGGGTTAAGGTGTTCAAATAGGGTGCAAAACCCTGAAATTAGGGTTTCATTCTACCAGGCCTACTTATCGAGTTGAGGCTCTCAACTCGTCGAGTAGACTTCACCACCCGTGTCCCTTTTCCATCTCTACTTGGCAATTTTGGGGCCTCCAACTTGTCGAGTTTCCATACAAAAATGAATAATTTTGAGAATTAATACATACCGGAATCGGGTGTTACACTTTAAGTAGTTCAAAACCCTTTACGACCAACTAGCCGCCATGGGTCGCTCCATTGATGTGCCTGACAAACTCCATTGGTTCTTAAGAGGCTTAGGTGAGTCCTTTACTCAATTTGCATTCACTCATCTTTTATTACCCTTGCTACCTAATTTTGAATAAATGGTTTCTACGACCATTAGTTTTGAGATCTTTCATTCATTTATGGTACATCGGCCTTCTCCATAAGTGGCGTTTTACAGTAACAGTTGTAGTACTTCCAATCAATTTGGTCATACAAATCAGCAGCCTCGCAATACTAGATTATCTCCGACTGTGGTAATTCCTTGTAGTGTGGTCATGGTGATAATCAACAACATGGTCGCGGTGGTAGACGCAAATATACTCCTCGATGTCAGATATGTAGAATTGAAGGTCACAAGGCAAATTTGTGCCCTCAACGTTAAACTTCATACACTTCACACAATGCAATCAATCTTGTAGAAATCTTTGCTAACTCCTACTCCGTCTCTAATTCTTCGAATTGATATGTTGATGTGGGCGATACTGCTCACATGACGCCTCAAGCCTCTACTCTTGACATGTCATCCACATATCTTTGTTGGTAACTATGCTTCTTTTGGTGTATCTTGTATTGGTTCTTATACACTTTCTCACAATCTCAAACTAGCAGATGTTTTGGTTGTACCACATTTAATCTAGAATCTTTTATCTATTATTCAATTGACTCAAGATTACCAAGTTGACATTACACTTTCTCCTAATCTCAAACTACTAAATGTTTTGGTTGTACCACATTTAATCAAGACTATTTTATTTATTAGTCAATTGACTCGAGATTACCAAGTTGACGTTCTTTTTTCTCGCAATCATTTTATTATTCAGAATCATAAGACAGACCCCATCGGTCCAAGGACAACTTGAAGGGGACCTATATGTGCTTCGTCAGGCTCACTCAGCTTTCTATGCTACCCTACGAAGACACAGGCTTCATGGATCTCTTACTCTTTGGTATGCTTGTTTTGGCCATGTTTAGTATT